AAATTAAAAAAATAATAATTCACTGGATGACTTAGATGCAATTGTGTACAGATGCTGCTAAGTGGAAGTAGCCAGGTTGATTGCTTAATGAAAGCTGGTGGACAACATACAAGTAAAATAAGTACGGTCTAGTCAGTCAAAAGGCAAATGCCTCAATCATATTAACTTTTTTTTTTTTTTTTTGCCATGCTGGGGGAGGAACCCAGAACTTGGCATGTGCGCAGCAAGCACTCTATCAGTGAGCTACACCTCCAAACCACACTTGTTGGGTTTTTTTTTTTTTTTTTTTTTCGTGGTACCAGGGATTGAACTCAGGATCTTCTGCTTGCCAGGCAAGCACTTATTCCACTAAGCCATCTCCCTGGCCCTCATACTTGTTCTCTGACACACGACCTTTAAGTCACATCTATAATTCAACTACTCAGTCTTCCCAACTACTGCTCCCATGCTTCCCTCAGAAGCTGCTCTCATGCTCCAGGGGACTGCTGCTTTCAATTCTCCCTACCAAATGTGACAGCAAGAAAGACAGGAGGAAAAACCTTGTAAGAATCAAAATGTCAAATGCTAAGAAGCACATATCCCTCAGGCTCACTCCCAACCAATTCCCTACAGACTATGGAAGTACGGTCTAAGGAAGAAGAGTGTACATAGGAACATGGTACACGTAAAAGTTAACACATGGAAATTGACATAAAGCAGCCGGCAACACCAAGGGCACCTCCCCCAGTCCCACATCACCATGCCAAGGTGATGGCTTTGTGCACCCATTTCCCCGTTCCTTCCTCCATGGACACTTCCCTCTCACCAGTGCATATAACTCAGGTGATGTAGTGGCATGAGACCTTGATGCGACGGATGAGATGGGCATGTGCCACACCCAGGCTCAGGACTTCCTTCCTCAGAAGCCTCTTCTCCAGGATTGCTCCACACTGGGAAGGAAGCCCAGGACTAACGGGGGCAGCTCTCACACACACACCTGCCTAAGAATGAAGCTGCCGTAGACGTCACCTGTGTGGAGGTGTACAGACCACTACAAGTGCTAGGCAACCCAGGCTTGATGTTTTTGCAAGAAGCATTTTAACTAAATGAAACGATGAAGTTCCTTTCTTTTGAAGCCCAATTACACCTAGTTTCACTCACCTGGAGCCAACAGAGCCCAATACCACTCGCTATCAACAAACATGCTTTCTTCACACACTTATCAGCTGACTCCCCAATGAGCTGTGTGGCTTTCTCTCTCTAGCTGTCTTTTTCATGAGTTTGACAAAATGCGGAGAACTGGAAACTGGATTTGAGTTAAACACCTAAGTGGTATTCAGCGAAAAGGAGGCCTACGGTCCCCAACGAGCTGGACGCGACGGCGCGCCCGCACAGGCCGGCGAGGCTCGGGAGCACCGCCCCGCGCGGCGCGACCCGGCACGCTCGTCGCCGTTGGGAGCTGCGAGGCAGTTTGGGGTTCTAACTGCCCAGGAGTGCGGCGGCGGGCTCACGGCAGCGCCCCGAACACGGACTCCCGTCACATTCTCACAAAGCAAGCTCAGGGCAGCTCCCCGGAAAGGGTTCCAGAATGTCCCGACGAACGGCGTCCCGTCGACAGAGATCCTGCCGAGCGGCGGAGCGAGGCCCTGCCTCAGGCGGCGTCCCCCGGGTGCGCTCACCTCTACCTGTCTCCGCAGGTGGGCCGCCGCCGCGCTCAGGCTCGCCGCGGTCGAGGCCGGAGCAGGGTGCGGAAGAGCGGCCCGCGCTAGAGCCACACCGCGCCGGGAATGAGCCCACCGCCCCGCCGCCGCGCCTCCGCGCCGCCGCCGCCGCCGTCTCGGTTTCCAAGATGGCTGTCGAGGGCGGCCTTTGGGCCGCTTCCGCTTCCGGTGCGCGCAGTGGCGGTCGCTCTAGGCATCTGGGAGGGCGGAACTCTTATCTCTGTCGTCGCTAGCTGCCGCTGGGCGGCGCGGTGCCCGCGATCAAGGCGACACTTAGCGCGTGCTCACTGGCAAGCATTGCTGTGGCTCACACTGGCCTCTCTCAGGCCTCGCCGACCACATCGCTTCCTGGTCTGCGGTCCTGATTCCCCCAACGAGCTGCCCCCCTCACAGTTCATGGGAGACTTGCCCGGATGTAGAGTGACCCAAATTTACAGCTCCAGACTCCTGTCCCCCCCACTTTTTGAGACTGAGTCTCACTGTGTAGTTCAGGCTGGCCTTAAATCACTGCAGCCCTCCTGCCTCAGCCTCCTGAGGACTGGGATCACAGGTGTGTGCCCTGCCCCCAGGCTGGGCTTTTGTCCCTCTCAATGGAGGGCACAGGCTAGGGTTTAACCCAAAGATCACTGCCCCATGGTCCCTGGGAGACACAGTCCTGGCCAGTTCAGCGACCCCCATGCCCACAGCCCCCGCAGTCCTCATAAAAATAGTTGCAGTGTTTTCCCAGGCAAGCTTTCTTCAAGCCTTCCTCCCAGCATGAATAGGGTCATTATGGCATACATGTAAGCTGGCCTCCTGGTCCCACGGCCACTCCCTGGCCTCAGGGATGGGAGGACAGGGGAACACAGTCCTGCCGGAACCCTGCAGTGGAGAGGTAGTGCTCAAGTATGTGCTCACACTGGGCACAGCTGCCACTTGGGTGGTGACATGCATGGATGAGGGGTGAACTCCACTTGCTGAGTCCAGTGTGGTGGGAGATGCCAGGAAGTGGTAGGCCAGGGCGTCTGAGCAGAGTGAGGCCTGGTTGATAGGGGTGAGTCCACAGCCCACTATCCTCCTCAGGTGGCAGTGAGGACTGGACTCAGTGGAGAGGGATGTGCCCCCGTTGTACTGTGCAGCAGGGACAGTCATCAGTTCCTGTAGGATGTGAACCCCACATCCCCATCCTTTGCCTTCACCCTGACTGCCCCTGAGGGTCAACCATGGCCACCAGGGTAGCTGACAGCTGAGATCAATGTCCACCATCCAGCAGTGACAGCTGGCAAAAGGTCTCCACAACCATCCAAGTTTGGACCTCCAAGGGCACATTTGTGAATGTGGGTGGCTGTGGCCAAGCTGATCCCTGGGCCTTGGTTCCAAACCTAGAGTGTCCATCAGTTTGACATGGGGACTTAATCTTAAGAATCCACTCCATTTCTGCTCTTTCCAGCCCTGAGACCTGCCTTCCGGTGCCTCTGCAGGGTAAGCTGAGCATTGATTAGAGGGTAGAAAGTTGCATAAGGAAGTGCTGGCAAGATAACTCAGTGGACTAAGTGCCTGCTTAGGCAGGTGCAGGAACAGGGGTTCAATCCCCAGCACCACATGCCATGTTGGCCCTTCCCTCGGGCATGCTGAGCCAGCCACCAAGTCCAGCCGTGGTGATGCACACCTGTAATCCCAGTGCTGGGGAGGCTGAAAACAGGAGGATCCCTATGAGTTGGAGCTGCCTAATGAGACACTGTACCAGATACAAAGAAAGAAGAAAGAAGAAAGAAAGAAAGAAAGAAAGAAAGAAAGAAAGAAAGAAAGAAAGAAAGAAAATTTGGGTAAGGAAGGAGGGTACAGGCACCACTGTCCTCAGCACACTATGCAATCTGTGGAGACAGCACCAGACCAGACAGACCTCAGACTGCAACCCAACAGGCACTCTTCTAGCTGACTGTCCACACAGAAGATGGAGGCACCAAACCTGGTAGCATGAGGTGGGGAGGCTGCGAAAGGGTCTGGCCCAGAGCCCTTGGCATCATCCCCAAGCCTCCTGCTCACTGAGCACATCTGGGTCACATATGAAGCCAAATGAGGAGACAAGTATGCTCCATAGATCCTGCAGAGACCTCCATAACCCACCCCCACCCACATACCTGTGACCCTCTATCTCTAAGTCTTAGAAGCCCAGACAGAAAGTGGGAAGCTAGCCTGGCATCAGGGTGTCCTGAGACCCATAAGCGACCCTTGTACAGCAGGAGGGACTTCCTGCCAGCCAACACACTGTGCATGACTGGGGACAGCAGGCCATGCCTCATCATCCTGTGCCAGGGTTATCCTTGGTGTGGTAATACCTGTTGAGATCAAGAAGGATCAGAGTCAAAAAATGTGCCCCAGGGCCCAGGGACATAGCTCAGTGGCACAGCATCTGCCTGGTAAGCTCAAGGTCCTGAGTTCAATTCCAGTACTAGTGCCCACGACACTGACCTGAAAGCAATGCAGTAGGACACTTGCACACACACACCCTTCTCCCAGCAGGAGACCACTTCCTGATGGGCACTTCCTGAGTATACTCAAAGGATGCTGCTCCCAACCTGCTGAGCATGTTGACGTACCCATGGGCCTTTGAGACACTGGCCTCAGGAGGAAAGGGCTAAGCAGTACAGGGCTGCCTTGGGGGTCTATGGATGCTGGGTGTTTTTTTTGGGGGTCCCAGATTGGTCCTGCTCCAGGCTGATACTGCTTGAGTAAGTTTCAGTGGCCTGAAAGCAAGCCAGTTAGGACACCTGCACACACACATGCTGTTCCCAGCAGAGACCAGACCTCAATTCCATACTCTTGCCCTTTACAACCAAACAGAAGCAAAGCATGCCTCAATGTTATATCATGATGGCCAAGCCCCTGGCAGTCTTGTGGAAAGTGCACGGGTGTCCACAGGAGGCCCCTCTTCCACCTGGGGTCAGGAACCCCAGCCAAGGCAGCCCCTAGCTCAAGAGAGGCACCATTTGGCTTCCCCAGGAATCTCCATCTCCTGCTCACATCTGTGCACAGAACCCTTCCAGGGCCATTCTGGGCTTTCCCTGTGGATGAAAATACCCACAAGGAAGGAAATAGCCTGGAGCAGGACCAGTCTGGGACTACCCCCCCAAAAAAACCACCCAGCATCCACAGTCCCCCAAGGCAGCCCTGTACTGCCTGGCCCTGTTCTGAGGCCAGAGCCTGAAAGGCCCATGGGTAGTGTCCACATGTTCAGCAGGTTGGGAGCAACATCCTTCCAGGGGAGAGGGCAGAAGTCCTGTTCTGAGGGGACTCTTCTCCCTCTCTCATGCCTTTTCTTTTTTACAAAAAGGTATTTGGAAAAATAATGTATTTGGTTGTTACAGGGTCTCACTACTCAGCTCAGACTCATAGCAATCCCATTTTTCAGTCTCCCCAGCACTGGGATTACAGGCATATGCCATTACACCCTGACTCTGTGGCCAGCTCAGCCCTACCTGGGGGTGGGGCTGGCACATCATGTGATGCTGGGGATGAAACCACAGGCCCTGGGCTAGCCTAAAGCAGATGCCTTAGTCCACAGAGCTATCTCACCAGCCCTCTCCCATACCTTTCAACATAATGTGTGGAGTTTTCATTGTTATTCTGTCTTTTTAGGGTTTTTTTTTTTTTCCACTGCTGGGAATTGAACCCAGGGCTACATCCTCACCCCCCCCTTTTTCTTCTTTCTTTCTTTCTTTCTTTCTTTCTT